TTTCTCATAATTAAAATTTTTTAATTTCATTCCAGTATTTACTTCACTTTGATATAATGCCAGCCATTGTTTTTCCTAAGAACTATTTGTACAAACTAACTAACGCTTTTAGAAGCAAGCTACATTATCACAACAGATTAAGAGATTAAAAATTTGAATAAGAAAAACTGTTTCAAATACGAAAAGGAAAGTTAGTATTTATTTTCAAAAAAGAAGTACAGTATACTGCATTGCATCCATAAAGCTTATTGAAAGTAACAGGCGAAGACTTTCCAATTGTGCTCTAAGTGACATCAGTAATTTTAAGCCATATTTAAAAGTTCTTTGAAGTTAATTTTTTCTCAGAAACTTTCTCGCTTTATCTGTGAAAGCGTACTTCAGCAGTTCCTTATCAGAAAGAACTAATGTTTGCACTAATTGAATGAAATGCAAAGATTAATATGATAGTTGAAAATCAGGAAAATTTTGAAAGAATTTAATTTTGTATGCTGTTAAAAATGGAAGTTCATCAAATATTATATCGTTTTAAATGTATTGTTACCAAATAAATGTTTGTAAATTTTTTTCTTCTAATTTTTCTTCCAGAGTTTGAAGATTTTTTATATACTTATGATTAATCATGTCTGATCTGTAGCATTTTACGATTAACAGAATTCTTGAATTTTTAAAGTTTGACATGAAGAAATTCAGTATTCTAATTTGTGACTCTATACATACGTAAAATTAGTGCAACCTCTTAATTTAATCTCATTCTAAGATTAACAAGTTTAATTCTGCAGAATTTTTTAAAACTAATATGTGCATGAAAAAATAAATTTGAAGTAGTACTTTTCGTAACACTCAAAATTATTTTAAAAAATTGACTGAAAAACAATTAATTGGGAAAGTTTTTTTATTTCAAATTTAGTAAAGGCAAAGGGAGTTATTTGTTGGAGAAGGAGGCTTCATGTGTATTTGATGGAAAGAGTAATGAAAAGGTATCTGCTCAAGAGACTTAGACCTTAAGGCCCAATCGATTCGTTTCTTCATGTTGTCGGTAATGCTAGAAACGAAAAGGAAGCGAGTATCGATGACGTTATGAGGTGGGGATTAAGCACAAGACATACATGTATTCATCCATTCTAACAAGCCTAGCAAGGCAAAAAGGCAACGCAGTAGGCAAACAAGCAAGACCTAAAACATATCTGTGCATTGAAGCCGTAGGGAAGAGTTGAGACTGTGGCTCATACTTCTCTCAAATGAGAAGATCATTCTTTTTCCTTCTATTGTTGCTGTCATCATCCATCAAACAGGTAACAAATGCCCAGGAAAATTGGCATCAATGGGCTCAGTACCATGATCACAATGAATTAGAAGCAATTTTAAATGCTATCAATTCACGATGCTCCAGTTATACAACTGTTTATTCAATCGGTGAAAGTGTTGAAAGACGTAACCTACTTGTTATACACTTTTCAACATCTCCTGGCCAACATCAAATACGTACGTATGCTATGCTATGCTCATTTAATCATACCATTATTGTTTTTTAAAACGAATAAATTTTATTTACAATTGCTTTCATTTCGATATATATAATACTGAACAAGTTCAATTTGGTTTGTTTCTCTCTTTAAATCTAATACATTTTTAAATCTTCCATTTTATTTAAACAGTTAAGTTTCCACAGCAAAATTTGCTTATTCATACTTTCACGTTTACAGCCTTGCTGAGCATTTCAAAAAAAAAAA